CTCCAGATTTTTCCTCTGTTTTAAGTAGTATTGAATACATATATATATATATATACTTCTAACCAAATATAATTTACTTTAGGCACTTAAATCATTTTCATAGCGACCTTTGGCCAATTTGAATCGAGAGTTGCCTTAATTGATATGGCTGACTCTTTCATAAATAATGAATAGTATAATGTGATAACTTGTGTGGAGGTGATGGTCTTTTAATAAAGGTAAGAGCTAAAGTTTAGGCAAATTACCATTAAATGTCATTCAAATTTCTTACAGGCATAAATTTGTTCAGCATATTTCGCTCGATTCGAGCTTAGATCTTCAAGTTTGTTTGGCCAGTTGTGCATTTGTTTTCTGTGAACTTCTCTTCCAGGATGTTATGTCTAACGTTTTGACAATTGGAACTGAACGTCAAAGAGGGCGGTCCCATCTCCGATGAGGACGAGGTATGCGAGACGACAGGCATACTGGCGTTAGATGTGTTCGTGGATGGATGAAATACTACGGCGTAAGAGTGTGATGCTGTGTGGCGGATAGGAAGACTCGTCTTTTCTGAATCCAACTTGTTTTGATTCAATTGGTTTTGCTTATCCTGAAGGGCCTTGGCAGAGGAATTCATTCCACTAGATCGGCCACAAGATAGGACTTTGCTATTCTTCTGACTATAAGGGAATACAGCAGAACGACATTCGAGTCTGTTAGTAAGCATTTTACTGAGGAATATATTTCAACCTTAGGGGCATGTTTCTTGAAATATTTGTGCGATACTCTCTCTCTATAGTTAAAACCTTCTTATATTTTATTGCAAATATTCTTTGATTAAAGGTTAATAAAGCAGACAGCAGATGCATAACTTTACTCTTAAGAATGTTATGCAAAGCTTTAGTGAACCAGTGCTTTTATGAATAGCGAAATGGTAGAATTGTTCTACCTCAACCACACAGGCACTCTTGTTTGAGGTAAAGACACACAAATATACAGGCCCTAACAATAGAAGAAAAATGGCCTGCATACGAGATGCATATCTGTTAAAGACTATTTTGGGTTTATTAGGCAGACTTTACTTATATAAAATCCAACATTAATCTTATCTAATTTCACTAACTAGGTGCCCGGTCAAGGGATTTCGATGATTACTTATATTTGCCTTTGCTAACATTCTAGATTGTAGTGTATTCAAAAACCTTCATTGTCCGTAGTTGACTGATTTTCCCAGATGTGGACGCGGAACAGGGTTCTTTTCACTCTTTAATGCAAGCCATTTGCAGAGGGATCAATGGGAAAACTCGTATGTCTTAAAACGAGCAAAATCACTAGGGGAGATAAACCAAATATATACAGCAATAATGTCTTATAGCCAACATGCTAGGAGATTCTCGAAAGCGCAACTCAAAATCCTAAAGAATGCGTACATTAGACCAATGCCAAAAATAATGCTAATGCCTATAAGGATGACTAACCTCAATTATTTTCGTATTGGAGTAGAGTTTCGAGACTACCAGTAAATCAGTAATATGAGATGTATTCACCCTATTTCGGCTAAGGTGATGAAGGACTGGTAGTATAATTTTCACACAATGATATGAGTTGAGCTGACGTTTCCATTGAATTTCACATAGCCTTGCTTACCCAAATGTTGTTCTCATCCAAAGTGGACTGCAGTTTCGATCTCGCATCGGTCTTATCGACACCCTCAGCGGGAGTCGAACCGCGACAGTGCAGGATGGGAGCTTGACACGTTAACCACTCGGCTACTCTACATCTCATAATCTCAATTAGTAAGATATCTGCTGCTGCCCTACAACTAACATCAATTGTGGTAGATCGTACACCAGGAATGTTCAAGCAGTTTATGGATGTTTAATTACTCCAAAGTCTATTATTTGGAACTTGCACGACTCATAGGGACCGAACTATGAAAAATGCTATCCTTTAAGAGGGTAAGAAACCCTCGAAACAAGTAAATGATAATTTCTTCAGAAGTGGGTTCACCTCGTTGTCGCAACTAGGTCTTGTTGTAAGGGCGACTTAGTGGAACGCACCTAGTCCGAAGTCGTCTGCCATAGTAGTTTTCATAATTCCTAGCATCAGATAGTGGACTTGGTACATTCTCAAACGTTTCGCTGGCATCCTCAGTGAGTTTTGCCATTCGCCGCACCAAGCTAGGAACTCATCAAAGAGACAAGTGGAGTCAATCCCTCGACAAACGTTCTGCCGAAAACAGTTACACTATCACTCATCTTTCTGTCCTGGCCTATCTATCTACTCTTTACCCTCTTATCCCACTGCCGCCTTATCACAACATTTCACTTGTTTACATTCCTCTCGTCAAAATGTGTGCCCTTTTGTGCCAAATCTAGTGTGGCCCCATCTCACCTGCTATTCACCCCGACTCCTCTTTTGATCGACTAAACCCACTCGGGCCTCAAATCCGGATCCCCTTCATGCGACTATGCCAGAGGCCACATCATCTTGGTCTTCATATCGAAAATTTCTTTAATTCTCCTTTAGAAGTAAACAAGAAATAGACTGATGAATCCCTATCTAATGCGGCTTCATCTTTCCAATTTGAACGAAGCAAAACAGTGTCTCCTTGATTTGCCATTCAATCCAAAAAAAGCCAAAGTTAGAGAAATGGGAGAAAAGTGGGATTTACCCAGTGTTAACTCTTCTATCTTCGCCAACTTCTGCGTATTCCCGTTTCAGAGACAACACACAATTATCGGATGCATCTCCAGGATTTTGCGTATTCTTCTTGGTATCTTTAAAGAAGAGAAAATAACAACTATTTAAACCACGTGATACATTGCGGCTTCATAGGGATTAGAGAAGTAAAGCAGATACTGAGGTGGATGATTAAGTTCTTACTCAAGAATTACTTATGGTTTCGAATCACAATGACGCCAAATATAGGCACTTTGATTGAGTTAATGGGCTGTAAGCTTGTAATTATTTAAGTTAGGTTACGAAACCGCCTGTCCTAGCCTCTCAGTCTAGGGCGATTAAGGTTCAACCACCCAACAAAGGCATGACTGGGGCTGCATAATCTGGCACGTCTGGTTTGGTTGATGAGCTTAATCCAACATGATGGACGAATATTAGTGAAATTAGAACCATCACCGAGTGCACAAGTTGATATGTCTTCTTATAGATAGTGGCTCAACATCATCTCTCTCCTTCAATCTATCAATATGAGATGTAGTAGTAAATTCTAGTAGTCTCGAAACAATACTTAAATGCCAAAAATAAGCATTAGTAGTTCTTAATCAGCTTTCTAACACTATTCCTCACATTCAATGCATTGCATAATCTATTAATTTCAATATCCTCATATGTTCTTTTTAGCATCAGACGTAACATAAACAGCAAACCTACTGGTTCGAGATCATTCTATTTCATGTCTAGTCTCTGTCATGTGCTCGGCCACTTCTAACCGTTGGACCCAGCTCCCTTAACAAGCATTTTTTTGGGTTACCCTAATTCTTGTCAAATAGGATGGTATGCCTCAGCAACAATTTGCACACAATCTGGTAGCAGCCGCATCCCTCAAAGGATGGCACGCCTAGAGAAAGTGTGATACCTTCTTTCAACACTATTCTTATCCCTCACTGTCTCACTAGTTCACCTACCTTTTTAGACTGAAGGCATGATGGCAAAATTAGGACACGAGAGAAGGCGTCCGCTTGTCTTTCTTGGACTAAATAGTTTCCGCCTGAAAATGTACTCCTCAGTAAAGAGATATTATTAACAATTAGACCCAAAGAATAATTATCTTCCAGGAATACATTTGTCAGCCTTTCCAACTTTTTAGTCAAATAATTGCTATCCGCCAGCCGCATACTCCTAATAATGGTTGACTTCGAAATTCCAACCTTACTTTTGGAATTTTGGTTGGAAATAAAATTCAGAAGAGCCGATAAATGTTGGCTTCCTATAAACATATCCTAACTTACACTCTTCTTTACAAAGCAGAACATCTAGAGATGTTAAGGCCTTTTATCCTCTATTTCCATTTTCAATTAGGGTTCCTTTCACGCTGGTTTAGGGAAAGCAGGAAATTATCTAAGCTTTCTTTACCACATAGAACAGATGACAACCTAATGGTCCATATATTTAACCAACAAGTTGGGGATTACTATTGCCTGCTGCAATAAGCTATCCTCAAGTTTGGCCATATGGTTGCTCGCCAAGATGTGAGCTATTTAAGATCTCATCTCAAGTGAATCTGTCTTTTCATACAACTTACCATCAAAGGTAAGCTAGCCGATACTCATGGATAAGTAAAGAAGTTAAAGGATAAGGGTTATACTTATCCTTATTTCTTCTATGATCTCTGGATGATCCATCGGAGTTTGTGCTAGAGCCTCAATGGCTTTCTGAGCAGGAATATTTGTCTGCATAAACACGGCACAAAAACCTAATGGCCTAGCCTCCTCTGAAATTATCTGCTGATCGATCGATTTTACAAACTCAAGAATTTGTCGCATTCAAGTAATGTTTCGAGACTGCCAGTAAATCAGTAATATGATAAGACCGATGCGAGGTCAAAACTGCAGTCCACCCTGGGTGAGAACAACTTTTGGGAAAGCAAGGCTATGTGTAATTCAATGGAAACTTCAGCTCTACTCATATCATTGTGTGAAAATTCTTCTACCAGTCCTTCATCACCTTAAACGAAAATGGGTGAATACATCTCAAGAATTTCTAACTGAATATAGCCAAAAATTACAGCCATTCGAAGTTGTATGCATAAAAAACGTGAGATTTTATGCATCACGCTTTATTTGTTATTTACAATTAATCAAAGAGGGACACCTTCCTTGTGAATCTTAGGGATGACATAAGGCATGAGGGCCCTTGCATCTCTCTGGAGTAGGAAATTCTTTTTCCGCTTATCCATTTCACCATTACTAGAGCATACTTTAAGGACATATTTCAGCCTAGACTTGAGTATTTCTGTTAAATCTCTCATTAAAGGCCTATACGGATAGGTACCATTTAAATGAACGACTACCACTGCTCCACCTTCATCGAATTTCACAACAATTAGATTATCGCGACTTAAATATCAAGGAAACCTAATGAGGACAAAAGGTTGCCCTTGCTTGATTATTCATCAAAATGAAAAATCCCTTTCAACTCAATACTATTCCTAACCCCTTCAGACAATCTATCAGATAAGCTACTTAATTCTACAAGTAGGTCCAGAGAATGTTATACTTT